CTCGTCTCCTGGTGTCACGGTAGCCGCTGAAGCTGTAGCGGTGCCCGGGCAAAACGTCTGCTTTCTTATGCGGTGTGCTTGCTTGAGCTTTAGAGCGTTTAGCGGCTAGATATAGGGGTTCACTTATAAATAGGTACTTTGTATTTCTCGTTTAGTGCATGTGTGTTTGCTTATGCATTTAAACTAAGACACCCCCTCCCCCCAAATTGAGAGAGAGGAAATATGATTTGGCCGTTAAGCACAACTGATGTCTTGAGTCGGTGCTGCTGCTTAATTTCCAATGTTATAAATATTTCGAGAGGCTAGGGAACACAATCATAGTGGAGCGACTAAAAACAATTAATTATCGTTAAAACCGTAAATCAAAATAAAAGTCCTATGTAGACGTTAGAGGGCTAGCAAAGAGGCCTGAGTGAAAGCAACTTCATTTGTCAAAGATGGTTTTGTCCTCTAGTTGTTTTATTTTTTTTAAAGATTGCTTTTAACCATACCTAAAGAAGTGCTTGTATCCTTCCCAGAATCTTTTCTGAAATCTGAACTTGTGTAAAAATGTCTTTTATACGTCTAATAAGATTGATTAGGGGTATATTTAAAAAAATTGTTAATGTTCTCATGTTCTGATATGTAATTGTTTGAATTAATTTTGGTAAAACATATATGGCCGTGACACCAACTGCACAAGAGATTTGAGCCGTTTTCATGCTCTTAGGCTCAAAGCAATATAGTGAAGTCAGAATAAAAATAGTAAGTACTAATAAATGTATCTGAGGAATGAAATGTGCAGCGGAGGTGACTGTTATTGAAATAGCTTGCTACTGGACACTTGATGTGTTTTTCTTTCATTTAAGTGGAAAAATAGGAAATGTGGTAAGATGCTACTTTCTGGATGTATCTTTGGAGCTTTACAGGCCTTAAAATCAACAAGGGACCACACAAAGAAAGTGAGAGCAGTGAGGGGGGAAGAAAAGTACATATGGGATAAAATGAGTACCATTAAGTAGTACAAGTATGAAAGTCAGGAAAGCTACGGTGTGAAATTCCTTCCTGTTAGGAAGGATAAGGGAAACTGCTATATGAACCATGGATATTGCAAAAAGGCAGAAGGAGTCCATGCCTTCTTTGTTCAGTCTTGATGAAAAAGTTGTCAGATACTTGCTAAAACTCTATGTAATGAGACAATGGGAGTGCAGGTAAAAATCAGAAAGGAGCTAGCGGGATAAGAGAGAAATTAAAGTTGGCAAGAGCTGAAAAAACTCACCATAGAAAACGTAGGGAATTAGCTGAAGTATTTTTCTGAATTGTTGGAGATTATCTTAATTTGGGCAAGTCAAGTAAGCCTCTGAAACCTATAGAAGTTCAAACGTGGCCTTTTCTTTTTTTAAAGACCAAGAACAGAAAATATGAGAAATCATGGATCAGTGAGCCTAACTTTGATCCTCTGGAAGATCCTGGAGGAGGTAGGGGAGTAGAATTTTTTTTTTAGCAAGTAGGAGACAATTGAGAAAACAAAAAGCAAACAGAAACCTGGCTAGCTTTGTTTTATTAAGAACAATCTGGATGAAACTTATTTATTTTTTGACAGTAGCCAATGTAGTTAATGAAGAAGCAATACACGTGGTGTGTCTTGACTTTCACAGGGTCTCTGTCATTGTCTTGGTTGGCGTTGTTTTTAACAAGTTACTGAAATGTGGTCCACGGTTATTTTTTTTGAGATGTGTACAGCTGCTTGAAAAATTGCTTCTCTAAAGCTGACTTGTAAATAATTCCCTGTTAAGCAGGGATGTCATGAGGCATCCTCCCAGAGATTTGTTTTGAATGTGTATTTATTCAGTTTTCTTCAATAGTAAACATGAAATGTGAATGTTGCTAAAATGCAAAGGATTGCAAACACTGTGCAGGACTGGGTCAAAATTCAAAATGATCTTAAAAAGTTGGAGAACTGGTCTGAAGTCAGTGAGATTAAGTTCAATAGAGACAAGAATTGAGACTTGAACACAAGCAGGAAAAATCAAAGGTAAAATTAGTGGAAGGGGTATTACTGAAGAGCAAACGGTCCCCAAAAAGCACCTGAGAATTAGAGTGCATAAATATTAGTAATTTGATGCTGTTTCATATAGATAAATGTTTCTCTGGCATTTGTTAGCACATGTGATTATATATAAAGACTGGGAAGGTAAATTTTGTTGTTTTTAATTGTAGTATGTAGCTCTCTAGACTGCAAAAATACTAGGTTCATAAGACTGCTTGTGAGGGAGACCTGAAAGGAATAGGTACTCTTAATCTAGAGAAGTAACTGAGAGCAAATCTAGTGGTGGTCCTTAGATATCTAAGTTACATAAGGGTTAGTGAACAACTAATCTTTGACTTACCTATAGAACACAAGAGGAAATGTTTGTTTTTAGAGGATAATACTTGGGTTGGATATTAGGATGACAAAACACTGAAGCTGACTATTCGCCAAGGTTGTTAAATCTGCAAAAGTTTCCTTGCACTTGGATTTGCATGGAGCTTGAGCAGGAAAGAACCAACATGTGTCCTGCTCATCTCTTCAGTGTGACGCAGAAGAGCGTGTATGTGCTCAGCAAGGGGTTTGCTTTGAGATATACACATTTTAAGTGTATCTTCTCTTGGTGTACTGAGAATGACTTTAGCTTGGATTGTGGAAAGTAGCTGTGTTGAACCAAGTAAATTCCATTTCACTCTCTTTATAAACCTTACTTTTGATAAAACTTCTTTCATGAATACTATTTCACAGAGATGTCCTCCAGAAAAGAGCAAACATATCCCCTTTTTGGGAAGGAAACAGGAAGATGCTGAGGGATAGAGAGATCAAGGGTTGGGGGAGGGGGGAAGCCCAACCCTCCTCTTACCTTAATCAAAAGATGGGTGTGTGGCACATTAGAAGGTGGCACAATGGAAGTGTGACATTTAATGTTTTAACAACACAATCAAATATTCACATTTTCATTAAGGAAACAACAAGCCTAATAGTAGTCTTTAGGAGTAACTGGTTTGGAAAATGGGAGATGTTCCCAGCCAGTGTTTCTATAGAGGCAGTGTCTCTGCATTTTCTAGCATATCTCAAAGACAAGGAGAAAGGCTTCTAGACGGATTACTTTTTTAACAGCCTGGAGCTGATTCTCATTCTATTATATTTTCAGTCTAAGAAAATGGTTTTTTTTTTGTTTGGTGACTTAAGTCAGATGCAAATGTGATTTTATTATTATTGCGAAGTATTAGCATCTTGTCCAAAATGAAGAGCTTGTACCTCTGCTAGTAAAAAGCCAAAATGTGTTACTGGAGTATGTGGGCCTGCTGCTGTTCTATTTTCCCTGTACTTTCATTGGCTCACTTGCTTTATGAGTTCCTGGTGTATTAGGAGTCAAAGCTATCCAGAATGTATTGTTGCTTGCTAAGCTGGTTAACCAGAAGTTCAGTCATGGAAAAACTGACCTGATTAGTTCAAACTGTTACTTCAAACACTAATGATTTTCAGTCTTTCATATTTCTAGTGCGTGATCTATGGCAGGCTTATTTGCCAGCAGTGGTTTGGAGTTGAAATTTGGCTGTTTAGTAGCTTTACCTGTTGGAAGGAAGCAAGCTCAGGCTGTGAAAATGAGAAGCTTAGGTCATACTTCTCATTGTAGATTTCAGGCCTGCAAAATGTATGCCTCAAAAGTCTGTGGACCAGTGCAATACATAAAGTATAAATCTTAGCGGTGTTAAGTTGTTTTGGACTTCTCTGTGTCTTGAAGCTTATAAGATATCTCAGCGTCACGGTTTTCAGAGGTTCTGAATGCTTTAAAATTTCAGTGTGTATATATATATTTTTTTAAGTATGAGTAATCAGCTTTCTGAGGTAGCCCAAGTGAATAATGTGGTTTCTATGACTTACCCTATTTTAATACTTTTGCATAGTTCTTAGTCTTAAGGTTGTTTTTCTGTTAATCTGACAATAGCTATTTGTAGGATCACAGATATGACTGAAACTTGGGAGTTTTTTTTAATATTTCTGATTCAAGAGAAATAAAGGAATAGGAAGACTTGCTGGTGGTAATATTAAAGAGTTTGTGTTGAACTGGTAATTTAACTTTAATCTGCAAGATTAAATTTTCTATGTATATTTTTAGAAATGGGAAGAACAGGAATGTTGGTTTCTGTATGAAAATGAGAATTAAAATAAGTGCAGCTCAGCCTCTCTGGTTCTTTATCACAAAAGCACAAAATAATCAATGCGGACTCTGGATAGTTAGTTGATTTAAGCTTTAAAATTCATGAGTTTGGGAAAATAGTCTTTCCTCAATGCTTAATAAGCATATTTTGGTTACTAGGATAACAAAAGACTGAACTAAAGCATTTTGTAACTTTTTCTGAGAGAGGTTTAAATTCTCAGAAGATCAGAATAATTGATGAGCATGGTATTTTATTGGAACTGCTGTCAACAGATTTAAACTTGTACTAATTTGCAACTAGAGTAAGTTAAACACTTTTATTATATAGTCTATTCTATGGATTTACATGTTTATAGTGTAGCCAATACAACAGAGAACAGCTACATTTAAAAGGGGCTATTCTAAATACCTGTTAGAGCTTTAAAAACGAATAATACAGTATTTAAATATGATGGCTACTGAAGATTAATGTGGTAGTGTCTAGTACAGGAAAGGTGAAATTAATTGTTAGGGCTTTTTAATGCTGTTTGATTTCAAACACTTTTGCAGGAAAACACAATGAAAAGACTTCAAAATGTCATATTACATGAAGTTCTTAATCACATCCAATTAGAGATTTGTGTGTGTGTATATATATGTATATGAATTAAATGAGTATATACGTGAGATCTTTAGTAGCTGTGTGAAGTTTTGCCCATTTTTCTGGGGCCACAGAAGGCCTTGCTCAAACAACGATCTTTTGTGATATTTGCTGTTGTCGGTCCTTATTTTTTACAACATAGGTAATTATTTCTTTGGACTTTTTAATGGCAGTCATGACTGCAACCTTGAATGTGAGTGAGTCACAACAGAACCGGAAGTCTATCTTAACTTTGTGTTACAAAACGAGAAAAATGTGTGTTTTTTAAATGAGAACCAGATAGAAGATATTTCGTGCAGACAAAGATGTAAACTACAGAATTCAGATTTCTTGTGTCCTACCCAAAAGTTTTAGCTGCAGAGCTATTCTTCTGTGGAGAATCCTTAGTTTGTTCTCTGACCTGTATCATTTCTGTAGTGGCTGAGGCCTAGATGGATACCAGACTAGTTTTGTACCTCACTTTCTATCTAGCAGGAGTACTGGAAGACCTCTTTCTGCAATTTAGCAGGGTGTAATGTATTGTCATGCATGTAAGCAAAGGATTAGAAGTCAACTCAAAATTCCTAATTCTTGAGTGATTTATATTTTAGGCTTTTAATGTAGTTCCTTGCATAGAGTTTGTTCCTTTCTAATCCTTTGAGGGGGAAAACCAGTTTGTTTATTTTTTAAACTATTTTCTAGGTAGAAGGTGCTCCATAGTAAATGAAAAACAACATGTATGGTGGTAGTTTAGGCACAAAGACTCAGTGTGATTACTTGGGCAATGTGTATTACAGGTTAATTATTCCAGATGAAGTTGTGAAGTTAAAGACATGGACTGTGGATAAATGCATCAATAACCTCTCCCTACCAAATTAGGGACCACATGATTTGTTTAAACTTTGCTTTCCTGCAATTAAGGAGAAATATCTTCAGGATGACTGGCTTGCTCTAGCTTCTGTATAGGCTTCTGAACTTGCAAATTAAAAGGAACCTCACAAGTGCAGGGAAAAAACAAATATGTAGCGCTGGCCTTTAAATCAACAGGGGCTTTTTTGATTTTTGAGAGAAACCTAAGAAAACCTGAAACCCTAAGTAATTCTCAGTATGAATGAGAATGATAAAAGTGAAATGTGTGTTATGAATGTTCCAAGAGTGCATCAAATTCTTAGGGAGACAGACTTTTGCATATATGTGGAACCACGGAAATAAGTCGTATAGAGAGGGAGAGAAGTGTGAAGCCAGAGAATTAAAGCTTTTATATGAAATAACACAACTCCCCTGTTCTCCCGTCAAGCTGAAAATGTATCAACTAACTTGCTTGTTCTCTTTTCTCAGAAATGACTACCCCAAACAAGACACCACCTGGTGCTGATCCAAAGCAGTTAGAGAGGACTGGTACTGTTAGAGAAATAGGCTCACAAGCAGTTTGGTCACTTTCATCCTGTAAGCCAGGTAAAATTGCACACAAGAAATCAACAGTGGAATGTAAATTTTTCTTCTTAGAAAATCAAATACAAAGTTTTACCTTTTGATGGGAAGACATAGTTTGTTCTTTGACTTTGGAATTATTACTCCATGAGGCAAAGTGTAGCATTAAAACTACCTTGGTATAAACTGTATTCGGGGCTACTAGAAATAATTTTGGCCTAGTCTGTATTTGATGCAATTTGAAAGTGTAATTGTATTAGAAAATCCAACAGTGAAGAAATATTTCATGTTAAAATTGTAAGTTCTGTTCTGTTAAACTAAATTGTTTTTACCCGCACAGTGAACAAACTAAACCACCTGAGCAGAAACACTACTAGCACTGTATAATTGTTTCTATACTTGGACGTTTTGCCCAGATAACTTTAATTTTAAGTGAGGAAAAACAATTCATGCAGCTAGGCAACGTAAATACTCTGTCCAAACTTTAGGTGCAGACTTAGTCGTTATACTGTGGCTTCCTAAATTCCTGCAAATAAAATTAAGCCATTGTTAACAGTACAGGGGTGCAGTTAATAGTCATTTGCACCTGCTCAAAATACATGAAAATGTGTTCTATTCATTGGAGGTGATTTCAGAAACATCTGGCAGGAATCGATCTAATATCTTGCTGCAGTCTAGGAACAGTAATTGTGATATTCTGCTCAGGCTGAACATCTTTGATCTGATATGCTGATATTGGGAGAAAAATACCTTATGGATTAGTCCCTTCAAACAGAGTTAAGATAACTTTTACTGCAGATTGAGCTGTAACTGCTAAATGAAAATTGCAGCTAGTGTGGGCAATCAACAAATGGATGTGGTTAGTAGAAGGGATTGATAATGAGAGAGTACGAAAAACGAAGATTTGGTGATCCTTCTTTAAATGTGATTACTTTAGCTTTTAGGAATACTGTCATTGAAGTGTCTATTTTTGGCATCTCTTCATTACATGTTCTAGCTATTAACTGGTTCAAAAAAGTGAAAACATAATTCAAGAATCTAGTTGAATAGAAACATGTAATATTTGGCTGAAATCTTATAAAGGAACAGTTTTTTTCCTTCAGTTCAGCAATGTGATTCTAGACTAGATGTAAAAGCCTAACCATTAAGTATTGTTCCTGCATTTATTACAAATTACTACTTACTATTTGTAACCCCAGGATGTGCTGAGTGATTTCACATCCCACAGACCTTAATAGCAGATAAGGATGTAAAGGTATTGTAGTAGTGAGCTTTTATTGACAGTCCCCTGTTCCAATTTTGTTGCAAAAACACAACGTGACTTGGGTATTCATAAGTATTTCTGTGCTTGTTATAACTTAGGATACTTATTTTTGGTTTGTAACAGCTCTAGAAAAGTTAGTCTGTGATGTCTGTGTTGCAGAAACAAGATACTGAGGATCATAACCTTTTCTTTTTTCTTAGGATTTGGAGTGGATCAGTTAAGAGATGATAATCTAGAAACCTATTGGCAGTCAGATGGATCACAGCCTCATTTGGTGAACATTCAGTTTAGGTATTAAACATTATTCTCTATGGGTTAGGGCTTTTTGTATAGCCTTGTATTGATTACTGTTTGCAAGGACAGGAAGTTTGAAAGTGCAAGGGCTTCTAGATTAATCCTGTGTTACTCAGCTGGCAAGAAGCCAGTTAGATGGTATTTATAAAAATGATTTTTGTGTATGTGTTTTATGTGTGTGTGTGTGTGGTTTTTTTTTAAAATGATGTTATGGCTGCTAAATGCCTAAGTAAGCAATGAAAAGGAATGTAGTAGGCCACTTGTAGCAGTTTCAATTTACTAACGTAAGGTAAAATTTCAGTCCTGACTCTGTAGCTTTCTTTGATTGTCATTTGAAGGGTAGATGACAATTTTTAAAGTGGGCCTGTATGATTTAACAACTGACTGTCTGAGCGACCTTTTCTTACTCTTTTATGCTGTTATATCTGATTTTAGGATGCTTTCAGTCCTTTTCTTTAACCAAGCTCTAAGATGAGGTCAGCAATTGAATCACCTCTCTCTGTTTGCCCTCTGGGGAGCTCTTGGTATACTCTTTAGTAGGCTAAACACACTTTTCATCACATGTGAGCGTTTTATTGGTGTCCTGACCTTTTCTTGAATTTCTTCGTATATTGATGTTTCTGTAAGCAGACAAAGGATAACAACGAAAGCCAACTCTCTGTGGGAACTTAATGTGCAGAAACACCGAGTTGCTGTAAGAGCAAGGATATTACAAATTAGTACAAGTGCTTTGATTGTATTAAACTTTAAATTTTTGCCTTGGGATGCTTACATAGCTTTTTCTTGCTTCTTGCAGAAGAAAAACAACAGTGAAAACTTTATGTATTTATGCAGACTACAAATCTGATGAAAGTTACACTCCAAGCAAAATCTCTGTCAGAGTAGGAAATAATTTTCATAATCTCCAGGAAATCCGGGTAGGTCAATGATGTTTCAGTTTCTACCTTAACGGTCCTGTTTCACTAGGTTATTTGATGTAGTAGAAGTGGTTTTGGAGGTGAAATATGGCATTGTGCTTGGAGGCGGGGGGGGAAGGGGAGTTTTGTTCCAGTGCTGCCTTTTAGTTATTACTCAGTAAATGTAACCTTGGTTTCTGTTTTTTGTCAGGTGGCATTACTAGCATGGTTATAATAGACTTGATATGTTGTTCCTGTAATGGGATTAGAGAGTGAAATTTTCCAGAATAGGACTCAGTCAGTTAAACTTTTTTTCTCACTTCAAATATCTGAAAACCGCAAGCATGGCATACCTCAAAAGGGGGACTTTGCAATTTTAGACTAAAAAAAAAATAAATAGTGAAACAGGTGAATTCAAACTTTATTCATGAATGGGTTGCTCAGCTATTGAGTCTCACCAGGAATCAAAATTTAGGACTAGGGACTTTAGTTATGGCTGGATATTGTGCATGCAAGTACCTTTGCAGTCAGGTGGCTTTCACTTAGGAGACTGTATGTACTGGTAGTCTTAACTAGTGTCTAATTCAAAGCCGGTTTTGAAATCCTGGCAAAAGTAACTGCAGGCACAAGGCCTGATCATGAGTTACGCAAAAGTTTCTTTGCATTCTACTGACTGAAGGATCTTTTATTTTAGTGACAATCTGTTGCAGAGTTGCTGAGTCACTATTGATGGTGGGACTAGGGGAACTGCAAGACTATTCCAAACGATGTAAAATAAGAAAGATATTAGTTTAAATTGGATACTTAGTATAAATTGCAACCAGATGTGTTGATAAACTGTGTTTTACTTCTGGGTATTATTTCTGATCTTTTGCAATGCTTTTCTTTTATACCAGACAGTCACTGCTATGTATAAATTTTGAAAGGGATACAGTATTTTTGTCTTTTTGTCAACATGTGAGGCAAAATCCAGTTTCCGGTTCTGTAAATGTAGAAATTTGGTGCTTAAGACGTTCAATAGGAACATAGTCAAAACTGGATTTGTAGTGTTTTGTTAAGACTTTTCATACAATGCTGTTGGTAAGTCAAAAGTAGTCTTTCTCCATGGTGACACTTTATTATGAAGCCAGCAGAGAGGTTCTTTAATGGAACAACTGTGATCAGATTTGAATCATTTTAAGTACTTTAGTTTTACATATATACTAGCCTTTAGGTAAAGAGTAAAAGCGGATTTAAAACAATCAATGATCTTTGTAAGAGCTGGCCTTTTAAACTAATTATAATTACCCATGAGCAGGTATCTTAGATAATTTTGAGTTACTGCAACCTCATAATTCAGATTCCTCATCTCTGGAGCTTGACAGCTACTGGCTCATGCTTTGGGGGGCTTTAGTTTACCTCCATCATATGGCAAGTATTACAGAAATGGAAGAATCAGCAGGGACTAGAAAAGAGAGGTACTAAATAATGGACTTCAATTTGGGCTTTGGGAGATTTTATTGTTTTTTACCTTCTGTTTTTCCCATGTTTGAAGTCCCAACAAGAAAAACAACTTCTAAGTAGAAGGTTGCAGATGCAGCGGGAGTAGGAGGTGTAGTAAACATATGCCTCTGTTACATTGGTACTGAAAATGTGTTTTCTACCTGATTTGTGCTCTCTCAGGTTTTGGGAATTGTACCTTTATCCTAAATCTTAAAGATAGGGTCTTACACTATTTGTTTTTTGAAATATTATTTTGAAAATAAATGATTCATCACATTAAGTGCCTTTCATCAACTGGTTATTCTCTTTTATTCTTCTTAATAACATAATTTGGGACTTGCACACTGTATAATAGTGAAAAAAAACTGAATTTTGTCCTTGTTGTGTTAGTCCGTGGGTTTGTTTTCAAAGTGTCCACTAGATGTCATTGTTGTCCTTAATTATCAGTTTCTGATTCTGTGCCCGGAGTCTGCTCTTCAATAATGATTTTTCCTTTGTAAAAAAAAAAAAAAAAAAAAAATCTTACTACTGCATTCTGTATATAACCTCAGTGAGATAAAAACTTTCTTATAAATTGACAAATGATCACTTTTGAAGGTGTATGTGTTAAAGATCTGCACCAAAAATATAATGCATTTGTAGAGCTATTTTGAATTTAAGTGCTGCTGTTTGTAAGCATATTAGTCTTCTGCTGTTTCTCAGGCTATGTTTCATGTTTCTTCCATCTTAAAAACGATTTTATACATAATGTACTTACAGAAAACACATTTCTAGTATTTTTACTATTTCTTTTATAGTATGTTAATGTATGACTATAATAGGTTGCATGAGACCAGTAATCCTTATGTATAGCACATTCATACGCTTTACCTCAAAACTGAGGAGAAAATATGGTCAGGCTGCTTACTAATGGCATGGAGTACTTTGCTGTAAAATGTTAATGGCTAATTCTGTGGCCTTTGTTAAATGTTGGCATGAATTTTTTTATATAAATCTACTTGATATTGAAAATGTTTCTCTAGTTTCAGTACTGAAGAAAAAAATCTTCATCTTCGGTCTCTCTGACACAAAGTTAGGTCAGTAAAGCAGCGTGAACTGTAATAAGCTCTTCAGAGCAAATCTGCTTAATTATAGAGCGATTCCTTTGGTTTCGAGACTAATTAGCTGGGTGGAAAATCCCACTAGATCATTTTATATTTTTCCATGGATGCTTGCCCGGCTTGTCTAGTGAAAATCCCATGATGCCTTCATGTGTTTTCTTCCTAAAGGTCTAATTCTCAAAACAGTGCAATGTGTGGTTAGGCTAGGTTTTATCACTAATACGGGATTAGCTTTAGTGTACATGTAGTATGTAGGTATGTCCTTCTTGGAACCTAAGATAACTTCATTGTCTCAATAAAAGATTTTATTCTTCTGATATATGTCATCACACCCTATCCTACAGGGGAGAACAACCCTTGTAATGTGGTATTATTATTCCTTCCTTCAGCTGAAGGAACTACAGTTGGGAGGTATGCAGTAAGCCTTCTCCTCTGTCTTATGTGCCTTTATATCACAGCAGTCAAGTTTGGGGTACAAATAACTTCTCATTTCCAGTTCCCGAGTTCCCCCACGTAGTGGGACAGTCAGTTTGACTGAATAAGATAGTCTGCAGTAGCGTTTTTGGAGCAGCATCTAGACTTCAATACATGATTTGCGTTATTGCACTTTCTCACAGTAGGAAAATAATCCGCTGTAAATAATATGAGTGAAAAGGTTGCTGCAGAAGATTTCTGGTCTCTTCAAATCATACTCTGCCTGCTATGTTTGTACCTCTCCAAGACGTTCAGGTCATTAGCAGTTCATCTCCCTTCAAACAAAACAAGTGCTACAATACTAAGTGAGATAGGATGTCAGGTTATATTCACCTGGTTGTTTTGATGGCTTTTGATGTCACAGGTAGTACAAGTATCTTGCTTTGCTGTGTAAGGTCCTTGTAAACTCTTGTACTAGCCAGTTCTGCATCTTTTGGTATAAAAAACACTGTGAGAAGGTGTAGGTTAGACTTTCTGAAAATAGTTGCTGACTTTTCATTAGCATCTGAGAAGACAGTGATATCTAGTCCCAAAATTAAAGCTGCTTAATGAGGTAGAGCCTCTCTGGAAAGAGCCTCCAGAATTCCATATTCTGCTGTGCCCTATGTAGGACTCAACAGTAGAATGCGGTGTATATGTCTTGGCAGCAACTAGTGAAGGTCTTAATAGGATTACAGATGAGACACTCTAAGAAAAAATTCACAAAGTTTTTTCCTTTATGCGTTTATCTGTAAACATAATCTTTCTGTTCTTAAAGCTGCTAAGTCTGTTTGCTGGTTAGAGTTATTCTTAATTTTTTTGTTTTTTCTGAATTACCCTGGAATAAGTTTGTTGCTAATTGTATTATGTTTATATTGAGAAATATATTCAGACTTTCTCTTTCTATACTATGTATGATTCCATGTAATGAAAGCATTAGAGTTGTTAAAATGTATAGCTTTGTATTTAAAATTAAGAGGGGAAAATATTTTGCATATTTCAGTACTTCAGGGATAAAACATTCAAACTGTTACCTGCTACCGACACCAAACACCAAATGTTATCTGCTAACATCTACTTATACTTTGAACAGTGACTCTATAAACATTACATTTTCTTCAGAGATCTTCAATTTATGGTAAACCTCACAAAACATTTTCTAACTCTTTATTACTGTTGCAGAGCCAATTGGGTTAAGAGTGAGTAATCTGGAATCTATTTCTTTGTTGTGTGTTAGCATTTATTCTTTACTGAACTCCAATTAGTTGCACATATCTAAATGAGCTGAGGACAGCAGGCTTGTATAGATGTAACTGAGGCTATTTGTCCTTTTAAAACTTTTATTACCAGTACTAAAGAATTACAAAGGACTCCCAGAAGCATCAGATTGCTTGAGAGAAACTGTGTAACAGCTGATAGCTTTTAAAATAGGAAAAATACCTTTTTTAACTAGTTGCATGTTTTGGTCTGGAATCACAGAGAAGAAAATGGAAACACTAAATATTTCATAACTTATTCTTCTTAAAGATGATTTCTTGTCATATCAACAAACTACCAGTAGTCCCTGCTAACAGGAAAAAAAAATATACTTGATAGCGTCTTAAGTAATGAACCTGTCTTATATTCTATTGGCCTGAAAAGGCTGTTGGAGAGCTATGAAGAGTTCTTGTGTTTGTGTTTTTGCACACAGATACGTGTGCATGGGCTACCTTTGACAAACTGTACTGAGCGTGAGTGAGGAAACTAAATGTTTGCTTGCCTCCTGTGTGGTTTATTCTTGCCCTGCAGTAGGAGTAGCTGACCAGCAGGCCCCCCAGTTAAAGTACAGAAAGCCTTCTTCCTGGTCTTTTCCTTTTTTTTTTTATTTGCTTACAGTGGATAAAAACTTAATCTCCTTATGAAATTTTTTATTCTACAGTGAATATCATTGTAGGTACGTGTATTCAAATATTAAGGATGGCATGGCTGTCAGCATTGTATCATCTT